TTCATGGTTAAAGATAAGAATAATTATAGTTAATGTAGCAGTTAAAGTGAACTGGTGGAATGATGGAAATTTATTGATACTTTTCTTAAGAAAATTTCAGCTTAAATACAAGACTCCCAAACAACAGCTTGTATAAGAACACTTCTTTCAATATGATCGTTAGAGATTATGATCATTAAAGAGTTGCAATTCCTACCAGAATCCATCAGGACATACACCTGTATGTGGTGTTTATGAAACCCCAAAAATTTCTCATTTGCATGCAATGACTAGCAATTTCTTTTGTTGTATGAAAAACTAAAACTTTATATGATGAAAGCCTTTGCAAATTGCTATTTATTTCACATTAAGAATGAATTTTAAATCAACTAAAAAACAATGCATTGCTAAATATGCTTTCAGCTTATTGAATTATTGAATTATCGAATCATTGAATGGTAAAACTGAAATGAATATCAAAATGGATGGAAAAGTTTATGCACCTGAGAGTTGTCGAATCGATGAAAATCGCGAATGAATTATTGGTAGCTTGAAATGATTATACAAACCCAATCATTGATTATTTTAATGGAAAAATGCTTAAAATTTCTTTGAGGTTAAAATCACTTAGACTGAAAACCGTGTGAACTAAACTAAACTAAACTAAAAATGTGTGAATTTACTGTAAAAATATACAGAATGTTGGACTTTGGTAAAGCTGTTAAAAATTTTTTATTCAGAACTATTGGTTTACCTGATGAATCAGATATCATCACGTGTAAAGCGTTGATTCAATTCAACAGACTCAGCAAAATTTTTATACCCAGCGCACGGATTGAACATGAAGGAAACAAAGATGAGCTGAGACGCAAAATCCGCTTGGAGAATTTATTTCTTCGAACTTGCATCATCTTCACAATTTTTCGAATAAATGTCTCTCTCTTTGTAGACAACTATTATATCGACTTATTTCTAGCTAATCCTTTTAGCGGGAATAAAAGCACCAAAGGATTTTTCTTCCTGATTCAGGTGGATCTAGTATTTATTTGCTTGTTTGTACTCCGTGAGTATTGCTTGCATTTGGAGGAAACTGGAAGATTCAAAGTTTTCAGAGTATTTCATCACATTTCGAAAAATGGACTTAGTCGAGTTTCCCTTGGACTTAGCTATCGTCAATGTAAAAAATTTCATAAAACCATACATAATATGATGTTCCACAGTATTCGAATAATTTTGATCACAACAATTCTAATGACCATATCAGTTATGGCTTTAAAAGTGCATAACTTTAGCTCAACCTTTATTCACTTGATATTCATTCTTGTTTATACGCCGATTGAATGTGTTAGCGCAATACCAATGTTTGTCAATGTGATGTGCTACACCATGTATTGCGGGAGTTATTTAGCATTAAACTTGAGCCGATTCAATACTTTGCAGGAAATTATTAAGAAAAATTCCTTGACGATAAGCTATAATTGTACAGCTTTGCGTCTTATGAATAATAGAGTTGTCTATTTCTTGAACCACTTCGATAGAATCGACTCTTATTGGAAATATTTGTTTCAATGTTACTTCATCGTGGTATTGCCTGCTGATTTCGGCTTGTTTTTCGCAATTATTCTCGATTTCGATTCGGACATATTAAGCCTAATTACAGCTTTGAATTCAATCATTGTTCACATTGCAGTCATTGCGAGTTATTATTGGTTTTCACACTTTTATCATGAGGTGAGTTGAGATTAATCGCATATTATAAAGTAACAAACATTTAATTGTTTCTTTCAAGACTATCGATATGCACAAGCGTTATGTGAGTATAATATTGCATTCTGGTTCAGCAAGTCTGGTTGACAAATTGAAAGTAAGTTCATCACTTGAATACAACTTAAGTCCAGTCCTATGCACACCGTATGTTGGTATTTGTAGCGTACTGGAACGGTTTACTAACTACTGACTTCAGTCTTGAATATTGTTTTTTCTTATTATTTTTAGGCTCTAGAGATCTTGGACAGAACTGGTAGTCCACACATAGGTGTAAGTATTGGTGATTTTTGCAGATTGAAACGTTCAACTTGCATTTTTGTAAGTATTCACGCTAAGTTCAGTAAAATTTTTTAATAACTTGTCTCTATTGTTGTTAATATGTTGTCCCTTAATTTTCAGTATCTATTGGAAAATGCAAGTTTTCTCATGCTCTTAACATGCAATATTCGAGTATAGTTTTGATTATTCACCTCACTCTACAAACTTTTATAATTATTGTTCCAAATGTAAAGTGCATTTTTCATGAGCAGTCAATGAGCCATCGTGCGTGCAAATGTACACGTCAAATCGCCCAATTTGAGGAAAATTGGTGGCTTTTCATTTTTTTATTCAATATTTTTCTGTATTTTCAGTGCTGGTTCAGTGTTTTCATACAATGTCTTATTAACTCAGCTAGTTGAAAGTTTTTAAAAAATCATCTGAATTTTGAATCCTCAGAGTCTTTATGAACGAAGCAACAAAATCTGGTAAACCTTAAACAATAGCTTTTTATCAATATTGATTATTCCTTGTATTCTGTATTCTTTATCACTTTCCTCTTCTTTTCCTTCTTAACCATCCTCTTCACCAAACATACAATATCAAAGATGAAACTTTTCCTTTCTTCTTTTCTTCCTTCCTTTCCACCTCTTCACCAAAAATGCTATCATTAAATCAAATGTGTCACTTACTCGTTTCACTTTTTTACTCTTACTCTTGCCTTTTTCACACTTGGATACAAACATTTTTATAAGTGACACAAAACCAAGCAAATTGCTGTATGTCTACTCATCGAATAGTCCAATGACATTGATGGCAAATTGAAAGTCGACCATTTTATCATCTCATTTTTCTTCATGCTGTTCCAAGAAAATTTTGCTCTCTCTCACATCTCAACATCTTAATCGTTCATTCATTTTCTTCCAATAACACTTTTATTCAGCAAATTTGTTCTCACTTTTCGAGCATCACTTACCAACAGTCATACAATAAAATGTAATAAAATGAGCATTAAGTTAATGCTATTAGATGAAAGATATACACTAAGATGAACAATAAAAATTAAGAAAAGACACCTTCCAACATGAGGAATAAGTGGCAAAATATTTTCACGCAATGACGAGTCAATAGTCGGTTCCCAGTATTTTTCAAGAAAAACGTTGATTTGACTAAATGCTGACTATAAGCTCTTCTATTTTTAACTCGACAAACGTATGACAATTTTTTCGTTGCATCTGAATTATTGTCATTCTCATGCTCGTTCCTTCGACTTATGATCATTTCTGTATTAGGGTTTGATTGTGTACTTTCTCTGGGCTAATGATGACTTATGTGTCAATTCAACCAAACAGTCAAGCTTAGTAGATTTCAAGGTAACAGTCTAGTTACACGGACACAAGGAGGAGCTTTTAATTAACACACTTTGTCGACCAATCACAGAAAAGACAATCATATGTTTACTTAAATTTTATTTTTAAAAATAATGTTTTTGTTGGTATTTTTATTGTTGTTTTGTTCAACATTTAATTAATTTACTTGCTGTTCAAGTGGACTAGGAAAGTGACTAGCAATCAGCTCCAGGATTAATTTAAATCTTTTACCATAATTAAGATTATCAAAATACTTATACTTAAAACAATGTTCATCAAAATATTCTTGTTTTGATTGTCTATTGGCCTCTTTCGGTATGTTACCTTTAACACTTTTCCAAAATCTTTCTATTTTTTGAGTATTTATTTCTTCGTTAATTGGGTCAACGAAATTGATTGAATGGTTGATAGTCTCATGTTGATATCCGAGTGAGTTAAGATCTACATAGCCTCTCCAACAATCTGTAATTATTTTGGTTCCTTCTTTGACCCAATGTTGAATTAATTGATTCAATGTCTCTTTGTTTCTTCTTTCAACTAGTTGAAAAAAACAATTTTTAGAACCTCTTTCCACTCCACCAACAATCCAAATCGATTCACTTTCATTAGCCAATAGTCTGCCAACATTTGCTTTTCGTTTAAAAATTTGAGATTCGTCAATTTCGACGACTTTACCAATACCACCCATTTCAAAGTTGTTGCTTCTCCAATGTAAACCAGAAATTTTTCTTAATTGTTTAAAAATTTCGCCGGTTGTTTGTTTGGTACTACCGGTTAAACCAATTACTTTTTTATTCCTAATCTCTGTACACCATAAGAAGACCAGATAAAGATTGTCAATCACAGACAGTCTAGATTTTTCAAACCATGTTCCTTTAGTTGGTGAAATTTTTTTTTTACACTTCGAGCATCGATAAATATAATTTAATTTTGAGGTGGAACAAGTTATTTTGTGAAGTAATCCAGTGCAACCAGGAGAGAGATTACAATTATATTCATCTTTAGATGCTACTAAGTTGATATCTTGTATAAATTTCAGTCCTTTGATATTTCCATCACTTGGATCACTCAACTTCACTTGCAAAGTAAGTAAATTTATCATTGCTTAAATCCATTACATTAAATAAAATTAAATTAACACTTTTTTAATTTGCTCTAATTTTCAGGTTACCTGACAAGATAACCCATTGCTTCTGTGTCATCTTATGACAATCAAACGATAACTCAACACATGTTTCTTCTTTTTGTGAAAATTGTTTTTCTATTTTTTTCTTGATTATTTTAATCATTTAGTGTTAAAATATATTCAGTTTTTCTTATTATTGTGATTGTAGCTGTGATCTGGATTTAAAAAGCTCACCGTGATTGGATAATGATTTAAAAGTCTTGTTGGTTACGCCTTGTGTCCGTGTAACTAGACTGTTACCGATTTCAAACTCAACCTTTAGGAATTGATAATATGAAATGTAAAAATTATTAGGCCGTGAACATTCAAGCTTCGTGTTAGAGAAGGAAAGAAAGTTTTTTCCTCGTTTCCGTTTCTGTTCTTTGGAGTTACCGGGTATGTTGCCATACTAACGATTGATAAATCATTATCCAACAATTCTGTCAGATTATTGGTATTGCTTCACTTGTTAATATAAATTCAATTTATTAACATTCAACCACGAGATTGAATTGAGCAAATTTACAATATGGTCAAATTAAGCGTTCATTAAGTTGTGGATCCAGACAGGATGAAGAGTGTTTACCAGGGAAAACAATTGAACGTAAAGTTGCTCTGCGAACAGGACGACGTTTCTTTTCTCTTATTTTGTGTGAAATTTTTCGAATTTGATTTGTGTTTGAAACGAAGTTTGAAAAAACGAGTGATATGAATATAATTATGTAAAATATCATGGTTGCCTGTAAACAGAAGAAAAAGATAAACATTAGACAGAATCACAATTAGTTAAACAAAGTCGACAAAAAAGTTGAAACTTGTTCAATGATACTAAACAACCAACTCTTGATCAATATAAACTCTCCTCATAACCATTTAAATCATCAATATAAAACATTCCATGAACAGTGAACCTTTATTTGCCTTCTAATCAAACATGTACATCAACGTATGTCAGGTAAAGAGTCTAGAATGTTATTTGCTGAAAGGGAATCCAGATAAAAGTAAACAGCTGTAAATGGATGAAAACAGTTAACTGTAAACTGTTCAGTCCAATAACAATGTTAGAGACAATAATAGATATAATCAACAATTGGATGAGAAAAACGTCGAGATAATCATAATCATCATCATGATCATTCCCATGGATGAAATGGAAAAGGACAGAGCATAAGATTGCCTTTTTTTGGATGGAAATAACTTTTATAATCAATGTGTACTCAGTTGGTACGAGGTGAAGCTGGAAATGGTGAAAAGTTTTGGATAATCAGTGAAAGGCTGAATCAACCAAGCAATCAGGTGGAATGATAAGGATGCAGCATGGAAACTGAAACTGTAAGGAATATCAGAATGAAGAAGAAGAAGAAAAGGAAGAAAAAGAAAAGGTAAAGTGAAAAAGAGAATATTGGAAAGAAAAGAAAGAGAAGAAAAATAATAGCAACAGTAATAACAATAATAATGGAAATAAAAATAACGACAATAATATCAATAAAAATAATGATAAAAAATTCGATTATTCAGTTAATAACATTGAAAGCACCTTTTCTTTCATTGCTCGAGTTTTGATCATTTTTTGTGTTCACTTGAAAAATTTGCTCATCAACATTTATTAATTTTCACAAGATTCAGCATCAAATTTTTCTCGTTGATGAAACGAACAATTTTGTCTGAATTTTTCTTCTTCTTCTTCTTCTTTTTCTTGCCTTATGCTGTTCACCGTAAATTGATGGTCCATTGACACATCAATAATATTTTCATCCATTTCTAATCGGAACAACAAATTTCACTGTAATCGAAGCACAAAAAGAAAGAAAATATTAGTAAAAAAAAAGTTTTTCCTCAACATTGTGAATCAATGAAAGGAAACAGAAGGTGAAAAAAATGATTTCAAGACTTTTGGTGAAAGTTTGGGAATAAGAAATTTGATGAAAAAAAAGAAGCATGAGACTGAGGATGAAAAGGGAGAAAAGGATAAGCTGATATTTCTTTCACTCCAATGTTAATATATTGGCTGTCAAAACATGAACCTAACCTTTCCTGTTGTCGAAGGTAAAGGGAATCAGAGAAATTTTGAAATCTTTAATATTGACCCACAAGTGATAACTTTTTTTGCCTTTTCTGTTTTGCAATATCGTTTGAGATGAAATTTTTTTTTATTATTTAACCTTAAATTTTTGGATAAACTTTTTTTCGTTGCTTTGCACAGATTTCAAGTCATTTATCGAAATGAGAAATTGAAAGGAAATTCATCTTGATAAAGTGGTCAACTTGTGAAAGTTTAATGTGAATATTCACTTGGAAACAACAATTTTTATCCTTTCTCTCTTTTCACTGGGAGTGAATTTACAGGGAATGCTTTTGTTGTTCATTATAAGTTTATTTGAATAAAATTTTCTATTTATTTTCAGTTTTACATTTTATTGTTTTCTGTTTATCTTTCAAATGGAATGAATCTTTTGTCTTTTTTTGTGAACAAAACTGTTGATATAACAACCTTGCCTGTCCATTTAGTATCAATATTTTGGTCTGGTTAATCCTCAGCTTTCATGCTCACCCAGTTCTTGCAAAGCTGATTATTAAAATATACTTGTTGGAATTGAAAAAAGCAAAATCTTTTCTTTTCTTCCAAATAATCAATAGTCAGGCTCAATAGAGAGATTTACAGGGAAAAAGGTAAGATTGAAGAGAAAATATGAAATGTTGAAATTTTGGAAGTTTTTTGGTTCACTTTTCATTCTTCATGATTGATAAAGAGATGGAAGGAAAAGATCAAGAAGATGAAGAGAAAAATGATTGTGACAAATGGCAAGGTGGACAAAGTAGCTGTCGAGTGACAGAGAAAAAGTTCATTACGAAATCAAATAAGAATGAACAATCGTCTTTTGTCTTTCATTATCAACATTCTCATTTTATTTCGTCTCTTCACTCCATTATCTTTGACCTTATCTTTTAACAACATTTATCATCCTTTGATGGTAACTTGATTCAACCTAAACAAAAGTAGCGCAAAGACATTTAAACAATGAAATTGTTTTCATTAGCAAAATTTGATCTATAAAAGCATTCAGTAAATGGACAAACGTTTCAACCGATTCAGTCCAAACAAGCAATTTCAAATCATTTAGCCAATAAAGTTTCAACAAGTAACACAACTAATGAACCATTTTGAAATGTTTCTTTGAGAAAACAGAAAAAAAATGTTTTTCGTTGCAACGAATCAACACATGAATATCATGCAAAGAATTGCCTTTGTTGAGTAAATGTTGATTTCTGTACAAAAATACTCCGAATGATGTGAACAGATTTTTTTCGAGAAAAAAAACAAACAAAACTTTCTTTTTCAACTGACATTAAACATTTTTCATTTTCTTGTTTTCCATTATAAAGATGAGTTTCAAAAATCAGATGCTTAAGTAGAGTAAACAAGTTCTGAAAGAAAACTCGAAACCCTGAGGCTTTCACCGAGATACAAAGAGCTACACATGAGATCATTAATATTTCTTCTCTGAACTCTTTTCACTAATAAAGCAATAGTTTCACCTTTTCACCACAAACTTTTTCCAGAATCTCTGTTTTCCCTGAACCTTTTGTCAGCAACAGTGAAAATGTCACTAAACTTGCGTCTCTATTATTCACAGTTCATTCATAAAGCCATTTGAAAACAGCATTTCTGCAGTTACCTTTTGTCCTGCCATTAATCACTTGGAACCATGAATATTATTACAAGCCATTATCATTGTACTTATTGAATGGGATTGCATGAAGAGTAATAAAGCGTTGGTGCAACTCTGAATCAATGGAAATGCTTCATGAGAGAGAGAGGTAAAAGTGTTCATTTAATAGCTTCAATTTCGTTTTCTTAACCATTAAAAGTGAAAATCGATTTTCAGTTTCGATAAGTAATTGCATTTTTTCTACTTTCTACAAGTTAGTATTTTCCATCTTGTTTTTTTCTCTCTTCATTTCAATACTTTTTCTCCATGCAATTGCACCAAATGATAATAAAATGAATAAATTGAGACCATTAATATTTGTGTATTACAAGAATATTGAGAAGAGAAGCAAAAAAATTACAAGAAAATGCGTTTTTGCCATTTTTTTCTTTTCGTTACACAAACTTTCTTTTCATCATCAAAATTCATTTTTCCCTGCAATTATTGATACTCTTCAGTGTTTTTCCATTTTTTCTGGCAAAATTAAAGTTTACTTTTTTCTTGCTTCTCATTTACATGTTATTAGATTATTTCGTGTTTCATGATGAAAAATGCTTGTTGTTACTGTTGCATCTAATGAGAACGACAGAGACTAGATATTGAATGTTAAATATTGACTTTTCAATTTATCTTTTCCAAGCCTCTCGACATGATCAAATAAACGTTGATTAGTTGATGGGAAAAAAGTTCTGTAAATCAGTTGAATCATTTCTCATAATTGATAGCAAATTAATGAGAGAGTAAATTTAGAGTTGCTTTCATTAATCAACTGAAGCCAATGGAAAAAAAGTTGAGACAAACATGAGTTGACTTGCAACAGAAATGTTAACCTTTTGGATAATACTTTTTTTATATTGACTTAGATTCAATTGGATTGAATAGAGATTCAACTTGGAATTGAATCTCACAGGAATTATCTGTTTGATTTACTGGAAAAAACTAATTTCATCATCAATTAGCGAATAAAAGTAAAAGTAAAAAATAGAGGAAAAACTTTAACAAGTGTTTATCGATGGATAAGTAAATTGTCTGCTTACGATTTTTTCATCAGAATTGTTGGAAGAAAAAAAAAAGTTTTTCCAGTGATTTTGTTCTTGAAACAGATTCTTTCGTTTGTGCTAAAATGACAAATGAAAAGCTTAAATACTGAACTAAATTTAATTTTCATCAATAAAGTCGAACTCTGGCGAAAAGTTCAAACAGAAAAAGTAAAATTTCGATTGATATTTTCTGTACTTTTCTGTTGATTTTGCAACGTTTTGCCTTTTCGTTGGTTAGTCAACATTCGTTTGTTTTATCGTCACTAATCAATGTCAGTTATAAGTAAATAAATTTTCATTTGTGAGTTTCTTGAGACTGATGAAGGATTGTCAATGGAATGATTAGCTTGGTGAACAGATGAAGGTGAAAGATAGCAGTGAACCAGATTGTTGATGAGTCCATGTAACGGAAATTACATTCAGACAAGATTATACTCTTTACTGCCTCAAGGGTCTAATCGATTAAACTGTTCACTGTTTGTTTCTCATCATGTCATGTCAATAAGTCAACTTGACCGAGAGTTGATGACTTGAATGATGAGGAAACAAGGAAAAAAGTAAAACATTGTAGGCTCTTTAGAGTTACAAAATTTACTGCCAGTGAAAAGTAAAGAAAAGCATTTCTTTTAATGGATAAACAGAGTTAAAATTTAAATGAGATTCCCTGTTTAAAGCAGAATGGATTCAATGTTGAAACAAGAATTATATGAAAAACATTGATATTGACAGTGGACAATGCTCTTCAAGTGAGAAAACAAACTTGAAACTGAATAAACACGAAAACTAGTAGACTTGGAATGTTCAAGAGAAGAAAATCTCTTGATATTTCCCTCTGAATGGTGTAACAAGACAGCGAAACAATTCAATATTCTTGCAAGATTTACCAACAAACTTGTTAGATGAACAAACATTGAGCCAATCATGTTCAACACAAATACAAAAGTTATTCAAAAGTAACGCTACATCTAACGATAACTTAGCTTACATTTG